TGGGATAGAGAGAGACATTTCTTTGTGACATTTTGCATGATTGAGTCTGAGTCGCTAATTGCAACTGGCCTTGAGTGGCAATAAGATGTGGTGGGGATTGTGGCAAAGCACAGATTCCCACCTGAAATTGGTGGCTGTCCTTCAGTTGTAGCTAATTGCTGTAAAGCGGGAATGCAGGTAGGTCTAATGCAAGAAATCTGGAGAAGCCAAAAAGCTAGATTTTTATGTGAAGTATTCTGATTTTTAAGTTGTTGGCAACTAATGAAAAAACATCTTAAACCCTGCTAGTCGAACAAAAGGTGTGGGGGCCAGCTGTGGCCCCCCTGCCACGGTAGATCCCTCTGGGACAGTCCCCCATGGGGGCCCGGGGGACTCCATCGTTCAGGAATGCTGGGAGCTGCTGCAGGTGGGCAGGGTGTGGGGCAGGCGCCTAGCATCGTGGCTCCCAGGTGCAGGCTGGGCGGTGTCCTCTGGTCTCTGAAAGACACAGGCTGTGGGTGGTCTCTACATGCTACAAATGCTACAATAAATGCAGCTCACAATATTGTGCAAAAAAAAAAAAAAAAAAAAAGAAGCGGCCTCTGATGTCCAAAAGTGATCTAACACTCACAGGCCATTTGTTCATTTTAAACAATCTTACAGAATACCAGCCTCAGACATGATTACCCTGAGACCATGATAGAATGGATAAAACAAGGCTGCTTCATAATTTTGTTTACTCACATATAAGATAACTATATAAAACCACAAAATACCAAATATCCCCTCTCTTGCTAAATGAATGACTATTACTCCTTATGCAGTCATTCCCTTGATTTCTGACAGTATTCAATTTTGGACAGAGCCTTGCTTCTTTATACTCTCTCCAAACCACCCAAGGGAAGACCAAATCCTATAACAGGTTCTTTGTAATTATCTCTCACTGAGATATTCCATGGTTACCTGTGATTTTTGTTCTGCCTTGTTGCAATGAGTAGTAAAGCTGACTTGTTTAACTACATGTATGTTTCTGGTGGTCTTTGGCAGAAGGGCCTTGACAAATGAAATGGTCATTTTCCCCACATTCCTGGCACTGCCATATCATCAACTACTGCTTTCTTCTTTGTTGGTCTAAGGTAAGTCCAAACAATTGAGCATCAAAATAAATATTGATAATAGTGGATTTAACTCTTTGAAAAACATAATGACCCATGAATGTGTTCTGATATAAATGAATAAAATAAAAGGGAAAGCTCTACTTTACATTAGAGTGCCAATGAATAAGTGTAGAAGAATTGATGGAATTAGAAAAGGATGATTTTGTAAAGATCCCTGAATATGTAATTCATACGAGAATCATTATGTTGAGGAACGGGATAATTACATGGTCTCAAAGCATCTTTCTGCAAAACTCTTATTAATTATTAATTAATAAGCATGACATACCTGCTTATTATAACCTCTAAGTAACTACTAATTTAATTAACTACTAATCAACAAATTCATTTAACTACTCGTTAATAGTTGTATCATCAGTAAAGGGACAAATTGACGTTGTGCACTTCCTTGATGTGCTGAGAAGAACCCAGTATCGCTTCTGGGGTATTCCTGCAAAAAATGCATAAATTATAAGTAAATATTAGACAAATACAAATTGAGGGACAATCCTCAAAAAATAACTGGCAGTACTCTTCACAAATGTCAAGATCATGAAAGACAAGGAGATTGAGAAACTGTTCCAGATTGAAGGAGACTGAAGCTAAATGCAGTGTATTTCTGGGCTTAATCCTGCATCTATAAAAGACATTATTGGGACCAAAGGAAAAATTTGAATAGCGCTTGTAAATTAGATGGGAATCTTGGATTGATGTTAATTTTCTGATGTTGATGGTTGTACTGTGATTGTATGGGAGAGCGTCCTCATTTTTAGGAAATATGTACTGAAATATTCAGGGTTAATGGGTCATGAATTCTGCAACTGTTTCTCAATGATTTAGAAATATCCACAATTGAGGAATCCCAGTGACATGTACACAGGAGGTCTTTGTACAATTTTTGTAATTTTTATGTGAATTTACCTCATTTTTTTTTTTAAGAGGAAGAAAGGAAGAAAAAGCATAAGTAAGTCTAGACGTTCTGCATGTGTCCTCTTTCCTTTAAGCCAGAACTGAATCATGGGGTATTGGCCTCCAGGAGAGGGCGGCAGATCTCTTGGTTATGTGGTTGGAGCCTTTGGTCATAATCAGTTATTATTTCTTTTTAATATTAGCATGGTCACATTTTTACTTGTTAAATTTGAATCTAGCATCTTCTGGGCTCCAACTGGGGATCCATATCACTGATCTATGTAGTTTAATTAATATACAGATGTTTAGGACTTACTCAAGATTTATTGAATCTCTTTACTTGGCATTCTTGATATGTTCTTGGTGTATTCTTACAAAAATCTTGGTATATTCATGATATATAAAGTCAGGATTATTATATGTTATGTCTCAATATTTTTTCCTTTTTCTTTAAAGATTCTGTTTGTTTGACACAGAGAGAGAGAGAGCACAAGCAGTGGGAGTGGCAGGTAGAGGGAGAAACAGGCTGCCGGCTGAGCAGGGAGCCCGACTTAGGGCTCGATCCCAGGACTCCAAGATCATGACCCGGGCTGAAGGAAGACACTTAACTGACTGAGCCACACAGATTCCCTTCAATATTTTTTCTTTGTAAAAAGGGTGTTCATCCATTTTTATAAATTAGATATAATGTTCACTGTCTTCTTTGAAAATAGAGTTAATCGTATTTATAATTACTTTGTCTAAAGCTTTTCTTAGATTGACTTTATTTTATTTTTTTAAAAAGATTTTATTTATTTATTTTTAGAGAGATCACACAAGTGGGGTGGGGTGGGGTGGAGTAGGGAACAGCAGAGGGAGAGGGAGAAGCAGACACCCTGCTGAGCAGGGAGCCCAATGCAAGGCTCGATCCCAGGACTCTGGGATCATGACCTGAGCCAAAGACAGACACTTAACCAACTGAGTCACCCAGGTGCCCTTAGATTGACTTTATTATCTTGGTTTGCATGCCATAGAAAAAACCAAATTTCCTTATCATTTTGCATAATTCTTGTAATGATTTCTTATCTGCTCTTCCATTTTTTAAAATTGTTAGTAATAAGCTAGTAGGCTAACTACAACCATTTAAAATTTTTTGTCATATACAGGGGCGCCTGCCTGGCTAAGTCAGGTAAGTGTCCAACTCTTGATCTCATGGTCAAGCGTTTGAGCCCATTGTTGTTAAAAAAATGGCTAAGATGGTAGATTTGGGGCACCTGGGTGGTTCAGTTGGTTAGCGTCTGACTCTTGATTTCAGCTTAGGTCATGATCTCAAGGTTGTGAGATCAAGCCCTGAGGCAGGCCCTGTTCTGGGCATGAAGCCTGCTTAAGATTCTCTCTCTCTCTCTCCCACTCTAAAAAAAATTTTTTTGTCATATACAGATAGTTTTTTATTTGATGCTTCCCTGAAAGATTTTCAATCAACTATAAGCCAGAGTACTTCATCTTCAACCAAGGAATGTTTCAGAATTCTGTGGAAAAGGACTATGCCAGATACTTTGGGGTACAGGTTTCTTATGGCATCACTTAATTTGAGACCATACTAGTGGACTGAGCCAGGATTTCTGGAACTCTAGAGAAGGCAATAGGTTCATAAGACTGCTAGCCCAAGATCCACTGAAACAAGAATTAATTACATAGGACTGATGAATTGATGAGGGATGATTACTGTTTTTGCTTAAACTATTATTGATATTTTCATAATGTTCTATTTTCTGGATATTTAAGGAAGCCCTTTTTCTTTCCTCTTAAGCTAGCTATAACTCATAACAATTTAACAATTATAACTCTGCTTTTTTTCAGACTCTGCTTTTGTACACCAAAACGAAACATTTGTGAATGATAGCTCATTCTCTTTGCCTGGAGCCCTCTAAAATTTGGAAACTTTTATCAAATATTCTTAATTTCATGACAATATAATTATCATATTTTCATGACAGTATAATTATTGGCATAGATTCAGTAAGAATCTGTCCTCCTTTTTACCAGGACATAATTGGGAACACTGGGTGTGCAACCAAGGCCTTGCCTGGAGTGTTATATTTGGGAATGATACTCCTTTAATCAGACACATCTAAGGACCTAGGTTGACTTTATGGAACCAATGCTTACAAACCCTTCCAGGAAAATTGGTTGGTATCTGGCTTACAAAGTTCTCAGCTTCTGGTGGGTAAGGTCACTTTCTTGTCAGACCCGGGAATCTTAGGGTATTTGGAGAACTTCAAGAAGAGACAAATTCACCGAATGGCTACCACAGCTGAATTCAGGTGTTGAGTTCTTGGTGTGACTATCTAACCTCAGAGGCTTTTAAAAGTCAAATTTGAGATTTTTTGGGGAAGCCTTTCAACAAAGCAAGTTTAAGGAGGCCTAAGTGGCAAATTATCACTCTTGTTGCACCAGTGTAAATAGTGAAGTTAGAGACCAGCCTTATCTGCAATCAAGAATAATCTTCCTTTGTCCCCTGAAACAAATAATACATTATATGTTAATTTAAAAAATAAAAAATAAAAAAATAAAAAAAGAATAATCTTCCTTTGAGATTATTTTTGATCAAAAGAGATATTATAGAAAAAAATGTGTACTTCAATGAGAAATTATGCATTGTCTAGGATAACAGTTCCCAGCTCTCTGATAAGAGCCCTGTTCATTGTCTCTGGGCTATTTATCAACTTTTTAAAATTGCAGTTAACTGATGAATATTGCCAATGACAAAAACCAAACAATTAAGAAGATTGATTTTATTTAGGGGGCACCTGAGTGGCTCAGTCGTTACGCATCTGCCTTCAGCTCAGGTCATGATCCCAGGGTCCTGGGATTGAGCCCCGCATCAGGTTCCCTGCTCAGCAGGAAGCCTGCTTCTCCCTCTCCCACTCCCCCTGCTTGTGTTCTTGCTCTTGCTGTCTCTCTCTCTGTCAAATAAATAAATAAAATCTTAAAAAAGAAGAAAGATTGATTTTATTTAGGCTGCTACAGTAGGGAGATCACCCAGATCTATAGATCAGTATCTCGGCAGGGTAGTATTGCCTTAGACTTTTAATAGGGTGAAGTGGACAAGTTATAGGTGGAATGATTTACAGTTGGGAGAATTTCACAATCAGAAGTCTCAGTCAGGTCAGCCGCTCCCTCTGGGCCTCGGTCCTCCACCTGTGTCCGCCAGAGCCTGTTTGCGTCGACTGACCAGAGTCCGCGAATTCTCCGCTCTGAGCCGATCCGCACTGTCCCGATCCCAGCTTTCTATCCTTTGAAAACACTAAGAATAATGTCCCTGCATCAGTTTTAACTAGAGCCAATCACCTGTCATGCCTGGAACAGGGATTGTACCCAGATTGCTCTTAGCCCCAATAATCATGAAGTCCACATCTATAAGAAGAACGGGAGCCAGTGGGGGAAAGCTCATGAACTCAAGGAGCACAACGGACACATTACAGGTATCGACTGGCTCCCAAGAGTGACCTCATCGTCACTTGTGGGGCAGACCGCAATGCCTATGTCTGGAGTCAGAAAGATGGTGTCTGGAAGCCAGCCCTGGTGATCCTGAGAATTAATCGTGCAGCGACTTTTGTCAAGTGGTCCTTGCTAGAGAACAAATTTGCTGTGGGAAGTGGAGCGCGACTCATTTCTGTTTGTTACTTTGAGTCTGAAAATGACTGGTGGGTAAGCAAGCACATTAAAAAGCCAATTCGATCCACGGTCCTCAGCTTGGATTGGCATCCCAACAATGTTTTGCTGGCAGCAGGATCATGTGATTTCAAATGCAGAGTGTTTCTGCCTACATTAAAGAAGTGGATGAAAAGCCAGCCAGTGCGCCCTGGGGCAGCAAGATGCCTTTTGGTCAGCTGATGTCAGAGTTTGGTGGCAGCGGCACTGGTGGCTGGGTACATGGGGTCAGCTTCTCTGCCAGTGGGAGCCGCCTGGCCTGGGTCAGCCACGACAGCACTGTATCCGTTGCTGATGCCTCAAAAAGTGTGCAGGTCTCAACTCTGAAAACAGAGTTCCTGCCCCTTCTGAGTGTGTCGTTTGTCTCAGAGAATAGCGTTGTAGCTGCGGGCCATGACTGTTGCCCAATGCTCTTCAACTACAATGACCGTGGCTGCTTGACCTTCGTCTCCAAACTAGACATTCCCAAACAGAGCATCCAGCGCAACATGTCTGCCATGGAGCGCTTCCGCAACATGGACAAGAGGGCCACGACTGAGGACCGCAACACAGCCTTGGAGACGCTGCGCCAGAATAGCATCACTCAGGTGTCTATTTATGAGGTGGACAAGCAAGATTGTCGCAAATTTTGCACTACTGGCATCGATGGAGCCATGACAGTTTGGGATTTCAAGACCTTAGAGTCTTCCATCCAGGGCCTCCGGATAATGTGAAGCTGAGTGAGCCTCCCAGATCCAGCATGACAAATGGACAGACTGACAGACTGACAAATGCACTGACGCAGCCCCGCCGTGTGCATGGTGGTGAGGAGAGCCAGCCGCAAGGAGACACTGAAGACAGGTTTTGCACAAATATCGTTTGTGTGTTTTTGTTTGAATATAACTGGTGACAGTGTTGGTTTTTTAAAAGCAGCCGTGATTTGGGTTTTTCTGTTTTTTGTTTTTGCTATTTCATTCCATTCTTGACCAAAGCTTCTCTTTAAGTAGTATATTATGGAAAATTGTCACACTAACTTAAAGGAAAGGGTGGGAGACATGTCCATTGTCTGCTAAACAAATAAAAATACTGAATGTGTAAAAAAAAAAAGAAGTCTCAGTCAGTTAAATAGGAAATGTTTAGCTCTGTCTCTGGTTTGTTTTAAGGGATAAACAGCTCTAATTTCGGTTAATCATTCATGTGACAAAAAACTGGAATTTGGAGGATCTGTGTCTTGCCCTGCTGGTGGGTTCAGGCAAAAGGGGAAATGTTTGTTTGGTCTTGTCACAAGTAAACAAGGGAGGCACCTGTAAGGCCTACAGGAGTCATGAGAAAGAATGGACAGTGAGTGAGTCTTATCTAAGTCATTCAGGGAAAGGTGGTTCTTTTCTATCAGCCATTTCCAGAACACAAAAGGGTGGTGGGATCTCAGAAAGCAAAGTATTGGGGAGATTTCTTAACTGTTGGTGTTTTCTGGGAACACAGGGCTCAGGTAAAATTCAACATTGTCAATATGCAAACTCTGCCATGTCCTGTAGAGTTCCAGTGGACTTATAACCTCTATTTGCAATTCAGTATCTTCACTCTATATAAATCTGTGCTTCTTGACTTTTCCTTTGAACCAGTTATAGCATTTGTCTGGTTCTCTCATAATGTATGAGTTCAATCAATTCTTCAATATGTATTCCTTTTTTTTTAAGATTTTATTTATTTATTTGACAGAGAGAGAGATAGTGAGAGAGGGAACATAAGCAGGGGGAGTGGGAGAGGGAGAAGCAGGCTTCCCGCTGAGCAGGGAGCCCAATGTGGGGCTTGATCCCAGGGCACTGGGATCATGACCTGAGCCGAAGCCAGATGCTTAACGACTGAGCCACCTGGGTGCCCCAATATGTATTCCTTTTTATATTTGTATGAGAGTCATGATTTTGCCTCTTTCTAAAAACTGTCTTTAAACAGTACGATCCAGGGGCACCTGGGTGGCTCAGTCGTTAAGCGTCTGCCTTCAGCTCAGGTCATGATCCCAGAGTCCTGGGATTGAGCCCCACATCGGGCTCCCTGCTCCGAGGGAAGCCTGCTTCTCCCTCTCCCACTTCCCCTGCTTGGGTTCCCTCTCTAGCTGTTTCTCTCTCTAGCTGTCTCTCTCTCTGTCAAATAAAATCTTAAAAAAAAATAAACAGTATGATCCATATAGCTTATTCAGATTCCACCAGTTAAACATGCGTTCATTTGTGTGTGTGTGTGTGTGTGTGTGTGTGTGTGTGTGTGAACAAGTCAGTTTCTAAGGGTCCCAGTGAGAGGCCAGGGGATCATGAGAGCTGTAGAAAGTCCAAAGGCTGTTGGTGGCTACAGTGAAGACTGACATCCAGAGGTTAAGCGTTATCAGATAGAGTGAGGTGGGATGAATCCTTTGGTGGAGATCATTCTGGATTCAGAGTCTAGAGCTTAGTTTATTCAAGAATTATTCAAGAATTATTATTTCTGCATTCCTTGGCAATATTAAAACATAAGAGTAAGAGTTAGACATAATTGGGTTCAAAATGGTTCTATCATTTACTTGCTGTGTGATCCTGGGGAAGGATCTTAACTTCCTTCTACCTGAACCCTGTCCTTATCTGCAAACTGGGAATAATGTTAACACCTACCTCGTAGAGTTGTGAGGATAAAATGACATAATGGATGTGATAGACTTGGCATATAGAAAGTACTCGGGGGATGCCTGGGTGGCTCAGTTGGTTAAGTGTCTGTCTTCAGCTCAGATCATGGTCCCAGGGTCCTGGGATCAAGCCTCGTGTTGGGCTTCTTGCTCAGTGAAAAGCCTGCTTCTCCCTCTCCCCACCCTCCTGCTTGTGCTCTCTCTCTCTCTCAAATAAATAAATAAATAAATAAAATCTTTAAAAAAAATAACTTTTCTATGTCCAAACCAAAGAAAGGCCTAAACTAACAATCTTTCATGAAAACTATAGAAGCCACCACATCTCTATTTTACTTCAGACCTATTAATACTCAGACATCAGAGTTCTTGCTCAACAAGGACAGATGGGATAATAGTTCATGAACTTGTCAACTTCAACAGTAGGTCAATGATGAAAACCACAGGTGCATGTTGATATGTGTTCTTTGGTTGGTTGGTTGGTTTTTGCAACTTTCATATTTCTTTTCATGTAACTTTGTTTTTTTTTTAAAGTAGGCCCCACGCCCAGTATGGAGCCCCGTGTGGGGCCCAGTGTGGGGCTTGAACTCACGACCCTGAGATCAAGACCTAAGTTGAGATCAAGAGTCAGACACCTAACCGAATGAGCCACCCAGGCACCCCTCATGTAACTGTTTTTTAATAAAGGCAATTCACTAAGTCTACGAATATAATTTTATTTGTAGGTTTTTATAAGCCTGTTCACATTTACAAATTATCTGACAATGTGTCCAAAATTTAGTCAGGAAAATATGGATAATGTAGTATCCGTAGTATGCTCTTTTGCCAAATCCTAAGGTAACCAATCTCAGAAGGGTCTGAGTAGGGTCCCCACTAGAGGGCGGTATGGATCTCCCAAAGGACTGACAAACACAAACACTTCAGGTCTTCCTTTCAGCTTTACACATCACTAAGGACCTGTTAATTCAGGATTGCTAAAAATGAGGCATTTGTAAACTAAAATTTGCACATTACTCAGTGTCCTCCAGAATCCAATTTGGCATTCTACTATGATCCTGCAGCCTGTGAGACAGTCACAAAGATCCTACCTGCAAGCAGACATGGGGCTTGTTGGGATTCTTTCAATTTCCGGGGCTTTTTCTTATCAGAGCATCAGCAGCATTGGTCTGAGGTGGTCGAATTGCTATTCATGCTCTTTAATAAACTGCTAGCTTTGTTTCATCATCATCGTCTATTTAAAATCACATGGATTGTTTGATTCTCCCCTTCAGGGTGTTGTGATGCATTTGCATCAAAAGTAATTTCACTTTGTGTTTCAGGTGTCTATCTTATTGTTAAAGTGGACATATACAAATTCCCTCAAAATCTGCTTGTGACAGTGCATTGGTGATATTCTTTCAGAGAATAGAAGCTAAATAATTTATAATATCAAGACAAGTGTTGTAAAAGTATTACCTATTTTAAAGTTTATAGGGCATTGTTTTATAATTAAATGGGTAAACTCACAGTCTCTCATATGGTATATAGTAAGTATGTAGTGAGCAATTCTAGCAATAACTTTTCTGCAACTTTTAATTTTGTTCCTTTTTAATTCTATATTACCACCAGTTCTTTTTCGAGTAAGGCCGTATACATAGGTGAGTAAAATAGTTTTTATGATCAAAGCCATTTGAAAGTTTCTGTTTTAAACCCTTTGAATGGATTATAAATGTTTACCCTCACAATCCTTAAACATTACACAATAGCATCAAAATAATCAATATGGGACTTGTTTCCAATTTCTCACCTTGTTCATCTAAGATCCTGGCTATCCAGATCTGCTTCTATAATTGTAGTGCTTGTCTATCATGTTTCATCCCAGCCTCCTCGTATGAATACATCAGTATGAATCCCAGGACATATCTCATCATTATATGATTATCTGTTTCTTGGCTGGCACAAGTGTCACTTTCTCAGAGAGGCCTTCCTAGAACATCCTGTTAATCTGTGTGTCACTCTCTGTCCTATTACCCTGTTTTATTTTCTTTGGAGTAATTATCAGTATATGAAATCAGCAGTTTGTTACTTGAGAAGATCAGCCGCCTCCTATCTGTCTTACTTGTTTATCCCCAGCTCTTAGATAAAATGTCTACCACATAAATAAGCAGTTAGTAAAGATTGGATACATGAGTAAATGAATGCTTCACTCATTTCATTCATTCCATGGTGCTGTTCTGGGGACCAGATGACTTGATGGTCCATAGAAGCAGAAGTTCTCCTTTGAGCCTGATGGCATGCCCCATGTACATAATATCTGAATTCCCATCTTCTATCGAGGATCTCTGAGTTGGTCTGACTGGTGAATGTTTCATATAGTTAGGGATGGTAGAAACTGTGTCTGACCTGAAGTCGTGGGTGATTTCCAAATCAAGGAAGTGTGCAGAGCTGACAGGTGAGTGGGGAGCTGCAGTCCGTGGGCTCCTGGTGAGTCATATGATGGTGGAGGAGGGCCAGGGACAGACATTGATGAAAACTGAGTATATGGAGTCAGGAGTCAGAGAGTCAGGGAGATGGCAGCAGGGAGCAGGGGAATGAGAGAATAAGCAGGAAGGAAGTGGTAGGCTCAGAGAATTGTGTGGTGGGGTATGTATTTTTTGTTATTGTTTAGCAACTTTACGGAAATATAATTTACATACCACAAAATTCACATATTTAAAGTATATAGTTCCATGGTTTTTAGTATATTTACAGAGTTATGCAATCATCACCAGTCTAATTTTAGGACATTTTTATCATCTCCCAAAGAAATCCTATACCCCTTAGTGTCATTCCTCATTCACCTGCCCTTTTCCCCGCCAAGTGCTAGGCTACCACTAATCTACTTCCTGTTCCTATAGATTAGCATATTCTGGACATTTCATTCAAGTGAGATTATATAATATGTGGTCTTTTGTGTCTGGCTTTTCTCTTACTTAGCATAATGTTTTCAAGGTTCATCCATGTTGTAGCATGTATGAGTGCTTCATTTTTTTTTATAGGCAAGTAATAATATTTCATTGCGTGGATATAAAAAATGTTATTTATCTGTTCATCAGTTAATAGACATTTGGGTTGCTTTAGCCATTTTGAATAATGTTGCTATGAACATTCGCACACAAGTTTTTGTGTGGACATATGTTTTCATTTCTCTGGGGCATGTATCTAGGAGTGGAATTGCTGGGTTATAGGGTTACTCTATGTTCAACACTTTGAGGAGCTGCCAAATTGTTTTCCAAAGTGCCTATGCTATTTTGCATTCTATTGTGGGGCTATTTCTGGTAGATGATTTTATGAGTTTGTTCTGGACACTTGAGCCATCTGAGTACCAGGAGAACGAGTGTGTTGTCATTCTGCCTGGATCCTGCCGTTCAACTACCGCTGCACAAACCCCTGGCCCCCTGAGGCCCAACCTGCAGTGATTCTAATGTACTAATGTACTAA